CTGGAGAAGAAGAAAGGGAGAGGTAGAATGGGGTAAATTATCTCACAAAAAAAACAGAAAAGAAAAGTCTCTTACAGTGGAGGGGAAACAGGGGAAGGTGAAAGGGAATGAGTGAATCTTATTCTCATAGGATTTGGCTTAATAAGGGAATAACATACACATTCAATTGGGTATGGAAATCTGTCTTACCCTACAGGAAAATAGGGGAGAAGGGGACAAGAGAGCAGGGGATGATAGAGAGGAGGGCAGATTGGGAAAGGGGTAATCAGAAGTAAATACTTCTGAGGAGGGACAGGGTCAAAAGAAAGAATAGAATAAATGGGAGGGCAGGATAGGATTAAGGGAAATAGAGTTAGTTTTTCACAACATGTCTACTATGGACATGTTTTGCATAACTGCACATGTACAACCTATATTGAGTTGCTTGCCTTTTCAATGAGGGTGGGTGGGAAGGGAGGAAGACAGAAAATTTGAAACCTAAAGTTTTAAAAACATATGTTTTAAAAAATAAATGTTTCACATGCTACTGGGAAATAAGAAATATAGAATGCATGATATCTTGGGGTGGGGGGGAGGGGGAGATGGGGTGAAAATTTGGAACTCAAAAACCTGTGGAAGTGAATGTTGAAAACTAAAAATAAACAAATTTATATTAAAAAAAATTAAAAGACAGGGGGAATATAAGATAAGGGACACAAAAGCAATTCTTTTGATACAGGTTCAAGATAAGGGGGAAAGGACTTTAGGAAGCCTTTCAAGTTACAGAATAAGTTGGGGTTTCACAAAGTACTGGAAAAGCAACATTAATATTCTCTTAACCCTTAAGGCACTGTATGTCTCCACATCACTTTCCATTCCATGAAAAGCAATAAATGCCTAACCTGGAACTTAGTAGGAAAGTAGGGGGGCAAGAAATAGAAGGAAATAGAAAGAGGTCGAAAGCATCTTCTGACCTTAGGATATATGGTCCAAAGACAAGGTCTATGAGGGGGAAATGTCACATAGATGCCGAAAAATATAGCAGCCACTTTCATGGAAATAAAAAACTGGAAACAAAAGGAGGTGTCCTTCAAGTGGAAAATAGCTGAACAAATTATGGTAAACTGCAGGAGTGAAATGGTATTGTGTTGTAATAAATAATGAATTGAAGAATTTGGGAAAGTTTGGCAAGACATATGAACTGAAGCAAACAGAAGTGAGAAAAATCAAGAGAATGTGCACAATGACCATAACTGCATAAAGGAAAATATTGAAAGATCAGAAACCCAATCAATGCAGTGACCAAGGCAGCCCCAGAAGACTGATGTGGAAGAACACCTTCCATCTCTTGCTAGGGTGATGGGGCACTCTACTGGTACAGAACAGGCCACATGTGGTCAGACCGGATCAGTGTGTTTGTTGGCTGTTTGACTTAACTGTGCTTTTCTGTTCCAAGTGGTAAGTAACAACAATGCAAATAAAACTTTATTTTTAGAGTAGAAAGATGTCTGAGTTTGTGTTGCAGTATGGGAAATAGATTCGTATTAAGAGCAGTCATCAGCATGAGGCTACTTACTTGCTATTGGCAAACTTCCTAGAACTAAAAGCACTCATAATGTTCAGCTACTACCACAGTGTGGAAGTGGAACAGGAAATTGCCTCCACTCTACAAATAGTTAAAATGAGACAGGATATTCCCCTCCTGGTTTAGACACCCACTACTCGTAAATTGATTCTCCCTTCCCTGCTCCACACCGCCCCCCCCAATACAAGTTCTAGCCTTGAATCCCAGGGCAAAACTGACTTCTATGAGATTTTCTCTGATCATCCATGTTTTCCCAGATGGCTTGGTATTACTGGTAACTGTGCACTGTTTCTCATACATACCATTCCCTTTCTCTCTCCACACCTTTGCACATGTGGTTCAGATTCCTCCACCCCAGCTGTTAGTATGTCTGCTTCTCCTAATTACCTCTTGCTGGTTTACCTACGCTTTGTATATATTTTGTATTATTGTGTTCAGTCATTTTTCAGTTGCGTCCAACTTTTGGTGACCCCATTGCAGGTTTTCTTGGCAAAGATACTGGAGTGGTTTTGACATTTCCTTCTCCAGCTCATTTTACACATGAAGAACTGAGGCAAATAGGGTTAAGTGACTTGCCCAGGGTCACACAGCTAGTAAGCGTCTGAGGTGGGATTTGAACTTGTGAAAATTATTTTGCTGATTCCAATCCCAGTGCTCCATCCACTGTACCACTTAGCTGTCAAATAATCTACCCTAAAATCATTTAATTCATGAGGTGTAGCAGGGCCAAACTTTAATTGCTGCAGCCAGACCATTACGTCAGGTTCCTGTAGTTCTATACTCCTAATTGTGTATACAAAGATATGCTTTTGTTCTTGGAATTTTGCAACTGTAAATGCTATCCTTTTTCCTCCTGATGAATAGAAATGAATCAAATCAGCATTGCTTGTTATAGAGTAGAGGTAGAAAATATAACAGAAAATCAGCCTCAAAGCCATGAATACCTGGGTTCAGAGCACTTGCTGATGCGTACTGGCTCTCCCTGCTCTAGGCTACTGAGACTATAAGTTGCATAGAAAATTCCCGCTTGCATTGGTAGAGTTTTCTATATTAATGATATAGGTATATAGATAGATATAGATAGATATAATGATATATGTAGAAACATATAATATACATAATATATAATAGTAATAATCATAGAATCAGTCCTAATCCTTTCCCTATAGAATATATACATGCAGGCACACACTTATCCATAGACCTATTAATAAGTAAGGCTTTTCTCACTTGTTAGAACTTGTATATATCTGAATTAGCATTTCACAAGTAGCATCCCAAGGTGTGTGTGGGAAGGAATCCCATAAGCACCTCTATAAGGCCTTTGATTACTCACTGGAGGGCAAACTAAAGCCATTCTCCTACCTATTGCCAGCTACTTTGCATATCTCTTGCAGTAATTCTCTCTTGCCTTTTGATTCCTCCCTAAAATCAGTCAATGAAGTCTTCTATTTTTTGCCCAACAATAACCTTAAAGTATCCACATAGGGCTATAGAGAGACCCAAAGTGCCTGAGGCCATGGATGGGAGCAGCCATACCTCCCTTATTAGATAATCTTGACTAAAGGGTCATTTCCAGTGTCATTCCAAGGTCCCAAAGTACAGTTTTGGAAACAGTTTAGCATGGAGCACCTTACCTTACTCTTTATCCATTACCCTTCCTAGAAATTTTTGCCCCCTACCCCCACCCCAAGTGTATCTGTAACACACCTAAGATTTATTTTTTCATTATTGTTATTAAAGGGGCCATCCCCTTGACTCACTTCTTCAACGGTTCTTCAACACCCATTCACTGAAGGTGTGTTGCCTCACTCAAAATGAGAACTCGGAAAGATCTTAGCTTAAAAAGGCAAGGTCTCCCACTGTATACTGGGCCATCTCCAGTCATCTTGATCTATATCTGGCCACTGGACCCAGATGGCTCTGGAGGAGAAAGTGAGGCTGGACATTTTGCACAAGCCTCTCTCAAATCCAATTCAATGAACATCATGTCATCATCTCCCTGATGTCATGGTCCTCTTCGAGAATGAAGGACAAACCACAACCACACAAAATAGAATGTTTCCCCTTTAAAAAAAAAAAAAGGAAAGTTAGGAAGCAATTTTTTTTGGCCAAGCATTTAAACAAAACTGTAAATTTTATTTTCAGATCTGCATCCTTTCTTCCTCACCTTCATTCCAAATAAGAAAACAAGGAAAACAAAACCTGCTACAAATACGTACAAAATAAATTCCTGCATTGGCCATGTCCAAAAAAGATAGATGATATATGTATGTGTGTGTATGTATGTATGTATGTATGTATGTATGTATGTATGTATGTATGTATCTATCTATCTATCTATCTATCTCTATGTATATGTATATGTATGTATGTATATGTATATGTACATGTATGTATGTATATACACATATATATAATGCCTCAGTCTGCATTCTGAGTGAGTAGCATGATTTACCTTGAGTCTTCTGGAATTGTGGTTGGTCATTGTGTTGATCAGAGTTCCCAAATCTTTCCTATTTGTTTGTTTTTCAATATTGCTGATATTGTATAGATTGTTTCTACTCAATTCCCTCTGCATTACTTTGTACAAGTCTGGGGAGCTATCTCTGATACCCTCATACCACTTCAACGTAGAGAGCAGTGACACTGTCACCCCGATCTGGACATAGATAACGAGCCCCAAAGCATCCTACTCCTGTCTCCATCTAGCTACAAAGAAAAATCTTTCATAAACTTGCTTTGAAACACTTGTTTTGTGGGTGGGCTCCCCTTTTCCCCCATTCGTAATGAGGGTGCTTATTTTAACACCCACGTACACATTTGCCACCAAGTGAAGGAGTTGAAATGGGAAAAGGCTGATCTTTTTCAGGCTCCTCTTATTCAAACTCCTCAAATTCCAGAAGCTCTTATTCCAGTGGTGCAGGGAGTGGTCCCAACTTGTTGCAGCTGTCAAATTCACAGCCTATGGGTCTCTGCTCACGTAGTCACCCAACCCTGTAGATTCACATGTAGTTACAAAATTGTCAAGAAAAAGAAACAAGGAAGGTGTAATTTCCATAAGTTACATATTACAAATGTATCCCACCATGATGGGTTTAATTTATGACAATATGAGGCAACGCTGGAGTGAGGCAAAAACAGGGACGTGCATATTCAGGGATATGTGTTACAGTGATCATGGGTCCCAGAGGACTATGGTAAGGGGTTGGCCAGACTCTTTGGGGCAGAGATAGGGGAAAAGGAACAACAAAGCCCACAGCCTCCCCTTCAGTCCACACCCACTGCCCCACTGCTTATGCTCTTCCTCTGACTTTGTGGTATAATGGTGGGAGGGTGGAAAGACTGGATATACTGGCAGAAACCCTGGTGAAAATACTCCCAGGCAGTTAGGAGCACTCTGGGCTCTCTGCAGTTCAGTGTTTGGCCTGAGGCTTCACTGTAGCAGTTTCATAAGGGAAGGGACTCTGAACTTTGTTGGGAGAGGTAGCATGCCCCTCTCCAGGGCCTGTGGCTTCTCTGTGTCTTCAAGGAGGTATTGTATGAAGCTGGAGGTCCCCAGAAGGACATGACCAGTGGCCTGCATGCTGAAGAGTGCACATCGGAGAGCTTCCCTGAGTAGAGAGGGTAGGGAGGAGGAAGAGGGGGAAAACACAAATGTCACTTGAAGGGCAATGCTGGAAGGAGAGCGTGTCTGAGAGCTATCGATCTAGTCCCAGTCTGGCATCCCCAAGAATGGACATCTTGAACTGGATGTCCTGTGTCAGACACCTTAAACTCAACATGTCCAAAACTGAACTCGATATCTTTGCCCCCAAACCCTTCCCTTTTCCACACTTCCATATTACTGTCAAGGATACTACCATCCTCCTAGTGACACAGGCCCAAAACCTAGATATCACCCTCAACTCCTGATTCTCTCGGAACCACAACCCTTCCCCACCGCTGTCCAGTGCATTGCCACATCCTGCTGATTCTATTCTCACAGTATCTCTTCTATATGTCCTCTTCTGTCCTCTGACACTGCAACTACTGTGGCATAGTACTTACCGCTTCATGCTTAGACTACTACAAGAGCCTACTGGTTGGTCTGCTTGCCAAATGCCTCTCCCCACTCCAGTCCATCCTCCACTCAACTGTCAGACTGATCTTAAAATACAAGTCTATTGGGGCAGCTAGGCGGTGCAGTGGATAGAGTCAGAAGGAACTGAGTTCAAATCCTGCCTCAGTCATTTGACACTCACTAGCTGTGTAACCCTAGGCAAGTCACTTAACCTTGACTGCCTCACCAAAAAAGCAAACATATATATATATGTATATATATATATATATGTACAAGTACAAGTCTACTTCCCACAAATCATTCCTATTCCCTGACCCACCCCACTCCCCACACTCAATAAATTGCAGCGGCTACCTATTATATCCAGGATAAAGTACAAAATTTTCTGGTTTTCAAAGCCCTTCATAAGCTGGCCCTATCCTACCTTTCCAGTCTTACTCCCCTGAGTACTGTGAATACTCTGAGATCCAGGGACACTGACTTCCTTGGGGTGTCTTGCATCAGATATTTTATCTCCCAATTCTCTGCATTTTTGCTGGCCATCTCCTATGCCTGGAATGCTCTTCTTCCTCATCTTTGCCTCTTGTATTCCTTCAAGTTTCAGCTGAAATCCCATCTTCTGCAAGAAACCTTTTCATGTTCCCCTTAACGCTAGTGCCTTTCCTCTGAGATGACTTCCAATTTCTTTTGTATGTACGTGGTTGTTTGTATGCTATCTCCCCCATTAGCATGGAAGCTCCGTGAGGACATGAACTGTTTTGCCTTTCTTTGTATCTTTAGCACTTTCCATGTTGCCTGGCACATAGAGAGTACTTAATAAATGTTTGCTGACTGTTTCCAATCTTCACCTGAGCTACATTAAATCTTTTCCTTCCAGTCCTCCCTAAACCAGGGGATTTTAACCTGGGATCTATGAATTTGTTGTTAATATTTTAACAACTATTTCATCATGATTGGTTTTCTTTGTAATTCTATATGTTTATTTTATTTACTTAAAAACATTATCCTAAGAAAGAGTTGCTAGGCTTCACCAAACAGTCTATCTCACACACACACACACACACACACACACACACACACACACACACACACACTCTAAGAATGCCTGCCCTGGACAGAGGGAAATCTTCAGGCATTAGTGGGATATTGATATCCAGCTTAAGGTGAGCTTTTATTTTCATCATAGCAAATTTTGAGTCCAGGCTTTGGGACCCCAGACTTCAGGCTCTTCCTGATTACTGCTCTTTCAGCCAGGCAATATAAAATGCACCCTTGGCCAGGGCACAAAGGAAAATTTTCAAGCGACATTCTTCACATTTTGGAATGATGATAAAGATAAGTGACTTCTGCAAAGCTTTCACAAGTCAAGGGGTCAGCTGGGCTATCATGGGAAGAGGGGAATAAGAAAATTCACAGTTTTTGAAGTAGGCTATGTGCAGGTCTATATACAAGGGAGGAAGCAGGGTTGAGGGGGCAGCTAGGATTTCAAGGAGAAAGTTTTCAGGCTTTGGAGCAGAATGAAATAAAAGCCACTGGGAATTAGGGGATGCTGATGGACAGGAGCCCTGCTCCTGTGTAGGTAGCTAACGATTTTTGTTTCATGCATAACTGAAGACTTTGTACTGGTAATGTGGTTTCTAGTAATCCTCTAGAAAGAGAAGGCTGCCCCATGGAGGAGGGAGCCTTATGCCTCCTCATATTGGATGGTTCTGTACTGTATGTTCATGAAAGCATCATCTCCATGGGGGAAAGGAAAACAAGAGAAGTTCATTCAAGTGAACGAGAGCCACTAACATGTATCGTTCTTTTAGATTCAACTTCTGTATGTGTATGAGTGAAGTAAACCCGTTCTTTAGTAATCCCTCTGCTGGTACTAGATCGATTGTGCCAGTCTAATAGCCAGGCTTAGGACAACTTTCACCTTTCCATTCAGTCATGCATCTTGGCCTGTTCCTGCCCTTCCTCAGTTCACTCATTCATAAATTTGTCATGATAAAGACCTCTTAAGTTTGGAGACACTCCTCATGGTCACCCTCCCTCTTTCATTTTATCTACCTAATTCTTTTTTTTAAGGCTCAGCTTAAATGCCACCTTATCCAGCAGAACCTTCTTCCATCTCCCCAGCTCATAGATAGCTCTCCCTCTACCATCTAAGGCAGAGGTGTCAAACATGTGGCCAGCTGGCCAACACTTCAGGTTACAGAACCACATTAAAATGTTTGGGAAGTATTTAACAAAACAAATAAAAACACAATACAACAATTGACATTACATTTTAAAACTAAGTCAATATGCTGCCTGCAAGGATCCTTCTCTATGGATCAGTGGTCCCTATTTCTATTTGAGTTGGACACCACTAATCTAAGGCACTTGTGGCCTTAAAAGCCCACATGGCCTGTAGTTATACTCAAGCAGAGAAAATTAACATCTTGTCTCTTCAACTAGAATGTAAAACTCTTTCAAACATTTTAGTGAATATCTTTTGAGTGTAAGACACTAGGGATACAGAGACAAATTAAATAGTCTCTAGCTTCAAGGAAGTTATAGTAAATGATTAGTTTTACAAAGTGGCTACAACATAACATTACCATTATTATTATTATCATCATCAACATCATCATCATAATAGCTAGTGCATATATAATGCTTTAAGATTTGTAAAGCACTTTACATATATTATGGTCCTAACTATCTATGAGGTAGGTATTGTTATTACCCCATTTTACAGATGTGAAGACTGAAGTTAAGTAGTTAAGTGACTTTCTGACTCCTAGTCCAGCACTCTAATCATTGCAACATTTAGCTGCTTACATAGATACAGAAAGGAAAATGCAAAGTAGTATCAGGAAGAAGCAGCTAGGTGGCACAGTGAATAGAGTGCTGGGTCTGGAATCAGGAATAGTCATCTTCCTAAATTCAAATCTGTCCTCAGACATTTACTAACTACGTGACCTTGGGCAAGTCACTTAATCCTGTTTGCCTTACAAAAATCCTGTTTGTTTACAGTTTCATCATCTATAAAATGAGTTGGAGAAGTAACTGGCAACTCACTCTAGTACCTTTGCCAAGAAAACCCCAAATGAGATCATAAAGAGTTAGACACTACAGAAATGCCTGAACAACAACGATCAGGAAGGAGAGATAACTGGGCTGGACAGGAATCAGGAAGGACCTCATATAGAAGTCTCCTCCTGAGCTAAGCCTTAAAGGAAGCCAGGTATTCTAAGGAAATGGTGAAGAAGGTATGCATGCACCTGTGCCAAGGTGGGAGATATGATGCCGTGTTTGAGGAACAACTAGGCAGCCACTTTGGCTGGAAAGCTAGATCAGGGAGCGTATCTTATGCTTTTGTATCTCAGCATCTAGGATAGTACTGTGTTCGTGTTAGCTGTGCAAATACTTGTTGACTTAAATTAGACCAGAAGTAGATGAATGTGCCTGGTAAGCTGAGCTGCCTTCCCCCAAACTACTCACTTCATGATGCGCTTGGCCCCATAGCAGTGCAGATCATAGGATAGTGTATAGTTGCCATACAGTGTTGCTTTCACATTCAGGCAGCCAATGAAGTCATCTGGACTTGCTTTGTATAAGTCAAAGGTCACAGAGGCCACATCCATCCTCTTAGAAGGCTTTTGAGAGAGTGAGAGCTCATATCCAGACCCCTAAAATGAACATTACAGGTCATGGAGGTAGGCTGGTTAGTTAGGATATGGATAAGAGCAGTTAGCAGATAGCTTCTGCCACCACCAGAGTTTTATCTTCTCTTTCCCCTTGTGTCCCCCTGCCTTGGTTTACCTGGTTGGATGCTGGTCGCCATTTCTGCCCCTTCTCGAGGACCATGAGAACTGTGTCTTCATTTAGTGTCTGGAAATACTCCTCTGTTTCTATGATAGTACCGTCTTCTTCCAGAACCAGGGAGAAGGTGCCTACCACTGATAGAGCTTCTTGTACCTAGGGAAAGAGAGGCATGACTATGACCAGACCTTTCTCCTCTTCTTTTCCCCTGCTTCCCTTCCCATCCTGAACAGAAATCAAGATATCAACTAGTTAGTCAGTTCAACAGAAGTGCCAAGTGCTGGGGGTATAAAGATGAAAAATGGCAGTCCCTAAATGGTCTCTAAGATGTGTCTCAGCTCGAAAGCTTTCCATCAACTAGGTGGTACAGCGGATAGACCACTGGGCCTGGAGTCAGGAAGACCTGAGTTCATACCCAGCCTCAGACACTTACTAGCTATGTGACTATGGGCAAGTCAATTAACCACAGTTTACCTCAGTTTCCTCATTTGTAAAGTGTTGATAATAATAGCACCTACTTCTCAAGGCTGTTGTGAGGATCAAATGAGATCATATTTGTAAAGCATTTAGTTCAGCAGAGAATAAGAACTATGTGTCAGTGCTAGCTGTTATTATCCTCTATAAACTATATAGTTAGATGTCCAGAAAAAGCAAAATAAACAGTTGACTGTAGGCTGGTATGAGACATGAAATTACTGCGTCGTAGAAAAAGTACTGGAAGGAGTACGTCTTAGAAAACAGTGTTGCTGGGCAGCTAGGTGGTGCAGTGGATAGAGCACCAGCCCTGGATTCAGGAGGACCTGAGTTTAAATCCGGCCTCAGACACATAACACTTACTAGCTGTGTGACTATGGGCAAGTCACTTAACCCCATTACCCAGCCAAAAAAAAAGAAAAGAAAAGAAAAAGAAAACAGTATTGCCCATAATACTGTTTGCTGGCTAAGGCTTCAGAGAATCACAGGTAAAGCCCCTCCTACACCCAAGGCAATATTTTAGAATGTTTGAAATCCTGCCTAGGTTTCAATATAATTTTGTAGTCAAGAGAGGAGTTCTTAATCTTAAAAACACTAACTAGGATATACTTTCCATGTTTATTCATGTTATTTTTTAAAAATACAAATGTATAGGGGCAGCTAGGTGGTGTAGTAAATACAGCACCGGTCCTGGAGTCAGGAGAACCTGAGTTCAAATTCGGCCTCAGACACATAACACTTATTAGCTGTGTGACTCTGGGCAAATCACTTAACCCCAATTGCCTTGCTAAAAAAAAATATAAATGTATAAAATCTGAATTTATGAATAAGCTTCTTATAAAAGTTTTGCATGTTAGCATTTTGCTAAATGAAGCCATATATGTTTAGTGGCTGCCAAAAAAGGAGAGGGGGTGGGGAGAACAGTGTCTCCCTTTTAGTCTACTGGGGATTCTTCCCCACCTCTACTTTGTGGTAGATTCTCGTATCATTTTAACTGTAGTCTAATGCAAAGATATGACATGTCCACAAATGATATTATGTCAGTCATTTCATACAATAAGGGTCTTAAATAGCTCTGACTGTTACATATTTGAACTAGAGAGATAAGCTAGACTAGCTCCCTAAAGGGAGGAAGAGGAAGTTAATGGTAGAAATGGGACAGAATCAAGATGGATCTCCTCTCTTTAAGTCCAATGCTCTTACTGTCTTCATTGTAACAAGTCTGGCCAGTTGTGACTTAAGTACTCGAACAAAGTTACCAGATTCAATAGTGTAGACAAAGTTTCTTTCCCTGGGAAGTGAATCATTGTCTGAATTCTATTTCTTCACCTTTACAATGTTGCCAGTATTTCCTTGGAGGAGTGGGGGAGAGGGGGAGATGTGCGTGGTGTTCACGCAGAAGAGATCAGAGAAAATTCTGAAATTAACCATGATGGTAATTTTGAAAAACACAGGACAGTATAGAAAGTAGTATATAGAGAAACAAATCCACCTCTACTTGTTTCACACCGGGTCTCCAGGCAACGTTTGGGAGAGTTACTAAGGAAAAAATGAAATTTAGAAGCTGTACCCCAACTGTCTTCAGCTCACTACTGGAATTGTTCATTAATTTTCTAGAGGCAGCTAGATGGTGCAGTGGATAGAGTGCTGGGCCTTGAGTCAAGAAGACCCAAGTTCACAATCTAACTTCACATACGTACTAGCTATGTGACCCTGGGAAATTTAACTGTCTGCCTCAGTTTCTTCATCTGTAAAATGGGGATAATAATAGCACCTACCTCTCAGAGTTCTTATGAGAATAAAATGAGACTATATAAAGTACTTTGCAAACCTTAAAGTGATATGTAAATTGTCATTATTATTGCTATTGTGATCCAAGATGTACCACAAGCTTCTGCCTTCTTAAGTAGAGTATATTAAATAGGATTTGAGCTGGTTATTGATCCTGTCAGAACTAGGGGCATTATGTGTAGGGCTCTTTGCCCCTATACCAAGAGGTTCAAACCTGGTTTGTTTTTTTTTTAACATTGTTATCAGATACAGAAAAAGAAAACCAAGCAGTCAGTCATCACTTCTTGTGCCATATGTACTAGTTTGTGACAAGCTAGTTATCTTGTCATGGAAGCTTCTCCTTAGAATCCAGAAGATATGGGTTCAAGTACTAATCTCTAAGCCATGCTAACATTGATTAAGCGATTCAGTCTCTTAGAACCCCAGGTAACTCTAAGTGTGCTTTGATACAGGATTTTGCTATCGTCCAAACAAAAACAGCATTTGCTAGAATCACATTAAGAATGTGGTGCATACAGGCTCCAAGTGAAGCCTGGGAGGAGGGAGAAAAGGTGAGGGGGGAGAATTCCCCTTAAGGTAACTGATCCAACAGTGTTTGACAACTATAAAAGATAGCCAGACTTGCCGGGGTTTGTAGAGTTTCCTTTGTAGTCTAGAAGAGGCTCTAAAGAGAAAAGGAGCTTAACTCTTAATTGACTTCGCTAAATTTGGTTGTCTGGGGGTGAGGGGAAGGATAGATAATTATTTTCCCTTGCCCTCTCCCTTTAAGAAGAAGGCAAGAAGCATAATTATTGGCCTTATTCATCTTGCTTTTAATCACAGCTAAATTTTACAGAATGAGAATGAAGGAGGATATATAAGAATAATTATATATAAGAATATATAAGAAGAAAGGGAAAAAGGAATAGTGTGCCTGGAATGTTCCCATTGGGGAAAAGCCATAAAATATGGTAATAAGTGAAAAGCCATAAAACTTAAACTCTGTGAAAGGTAGAAGTCAGGACATGGTGACCTGTTAACAAATCATAACTTAGATACTGAATCATAATTTAGACAGTGACTCATAATTTAAGACACTATGATCTATGAAAGCCATAACAAGAATATTGTGACCCTTACGTGACCTATACATGATCAATACACAAACTTATGTTTGGGCCTAACATTGTCTTAATGCCCAAGCCCATTACTAAGCAGAAAACTAAAAATATCCACCCACCAGTAGTGATGTGCTCTCTAGCTCCTCCCCATCTTTGATTGTTTTCTATAATTACCATGGCGATTTGGGGAGTTCTTCAGCAGGCATTCACTGAACTGTCTGGCTGCTGCCCCATACTGAAGATTGCCCCTGTTTTCTAAGTATTCGTAATGATTGATTAAACCCATAATCAATCTGGAGCTCCTTGGCCTCTTCCTTTTGTATCAAAAGAACACCCTACCATTATGGGAGAGGTACAGGGTTCCCCAGCCGGGGGAATTCTGGACCCTACAGTGGAATTTGTCATTTCTTCTTCAAAGCCAAGAAGCAATGTAGTATACTGTTGGTTTTAGAGTCAGCAACTGGGTTCAAATCTCACTTTGACTTAGGATCATGGATCTAAAGCTGAAGAGACCTTAGGATATCTAGCCCACTTTCAGCAACTGAGGTTGTGTAGTTTATCCAAGACTAGACAGGATTAAAAAGTCACTTCCTTCTCTGTGCCTCAGTTTCTTCCACTAGGAAGTGAGGGGCTTGGACTAGATGACCTTTAAGATTTCTTTTCAGCTTTACGCTGACAATCCTTTTCTAATAAGGATAGTCAGGCCTCAGTTCTTCCCAGCCTTGGAATTCTATCCCTCTACAGGGTGCATAATAAGTGTAAATTAAGCCAGTTGACATCTCTAAGGATGAAAAAGATCACAGTGGTCCAAGGAGAAGAGGTCCATGATACAACCAAGGTTTACACAAAGTACCATTCATTCTTTGGGGAAGTTAAAATGTCCTTCCTCCTTAGTCCTGGCCAGTTTGCTGGAAACTGTCTCCTTGAGGATAAGGCTATAGAGCTAGAAGAGACTTTGGATATAGGCCAATTTTATCCCCATTTTACAGGTGAGGACATGAAAAGTACACAGAGCTTGAGCTACTTGCCCAGAGTTACAACTGGTGACTACAACAAAGTCAGGACCAGAACTTGTCCCTTGACACCTAGTCTAAAATATTCTTAGTATTTATTCCATGTAACTTTCTTCCACCATTAGAAAACTAGACTAAGATAATTTCTTCATGGGGTCTACCATTAGTCCAGAAGTATTCCCAGGGCCAGTAATGTATATAGAGTTTAGGACATTACCCACACTATTAGATGTCATTATTGACAAATTTCAAAAGGTTGCCCAACCCACTAGCCTTTTAAGGGTCAAAAGCAAGAGTTCTTCACATGGGATTTAATTTTTAAAATATATTTTAAACATTTCCTGATAACTGTATTTATATACCCGATGTCCATTATAATTGTATATTTTTGCATTTAAGAACATTATTCTGAGGAATCCATAGGTTTCACTAAACTGCCAAAGGAGTCCACTACACAAAAAAAGTTAAGAACCCCTCATCTAAAGGGGATCCCCAAGTCTTTTCCTCACACCAAGCTTTGACCAAAGGGTTTGACCTGGGGTTGTAGAAGGGACTTAGCCATATGTCAGCAATAGCCTGCCTAAAAACGTACTGTAGAACAGACCTAAAAGTCAGGAGACTGGATCCTAGTCTCATCTCTGCCACTAATTCATTTCAAACATTTAAGCATCTACCAAGTTTAAGGCAGTGGTGTGTCTAATAAAGACAAGAACAGTCTAAGGCTTATCAAATGATGCAAGAAAATATACACATGACGATAATGGGGGGAAAAAAGAAAAGAAAAATTTCAGCCCTGAAATTATGACTAAGCTAGTTCTAGAGAAGAGTTGAAAAATGCACCTCTTTCTCTTCTTTGGAGGTTGGAAGAGAAAGGGGTATTACCTGTACAGAATATTGTACATATTGTAAAATACCTGATATGTTTGTTGGTTTCGCTGAATTATGGCTTCCCCTTCCCTTTCTAATCTCTCTTACAAAGGATAAGATCCACATAGAGAAAGATAAATGTCAAAGTGAAAGTGTTATAAAAACAAAGAGCTATCAACCAAAATAAGATTTTTTTGAAGTTCCTGCCCTCAAGAAGCTTTTGTTTTCCTCCGAGGACTATAACATATTGACAAATAAATACAAGAAAAACTGAGAAGGGAAAGTGCCCTAGAAGCATGCATGACACGAGAGAACCTGGCAAAGTAGCCTTTAATTCAGACAGGTCTCTTACATTTTATGGGGCTGTTGTTTTTTTGTTTTGTTTTTGTTTTGTTTGCTTGCTTTTTAATCTGAGAAATACAGAGATTGCTTTAAAAGTAAGTCACTTAAGGTTCCTTCCAGTTCTGAAAGAAATCACAAAAGATCTTAAACCACCTTTAGCTTGAGGTGGGTTGGGTTTCCTGTAGGCATGGGCCGTTCTTGCCTTGTATATAGACATGTACTCATGACTAGCCTCACTAAGACAATATTTTAAATACAGAAGCTAATTAGTTGCAACTACCAAGATTAGCCTATCTAACATAGTCTCTCACCTTGTGGCTGAGGTCTAAGAGACTACCAGCCATGATCCCCTTCCGAATGCTCCGATCAGCATTGCTCACTCGGTAGGGTAGGGCTTTGGTCACGTAACTCGTTTCAGCCAACAGCTGCTGTTTCACCACAGAGGTATTTACCGCTACCCAACTGGAAAGCCAGATAGGACAGTAAGGATGGGTCCTCTTTATAACTCCCAGCTTCTTCACTTACCCTCTACCACCTTCTAACCTTGTTTCCTCTCTTCCCAGTCAAATGACCCCTCCCTTCCTTCTGAAGTCTATCCCAGACTTTATTTTGGGAAGATTTTCATGGTGAACTTCACCTTGCTTGGATCACAACATAAATAAGTTGCCAGAGGGCAAGCAAGATCTACTTACTGTGTGCCTTCTTGTGGGCAGGAAATTGATTTGTTAAACTTGAATAGGGATGAGCCTCACCTGGAAAGAGACTTGGGAGAAAGAAGGCTGAGAGACTTCATTGCGTATTCCATCCTAGTCAACTGTACTGGTTGAGACCTATGAAGGAAACAAAGACCACTCATTCCAACCAAGTCACATTTCTCTCCCTGGAAACCTCTCCCCAGCAGAGGAAGCTCTAGGACTTGTTTTCCTCATGGCGCTACAGCAACAAAACCAATGAGAAGCAATCTATTACCATCCACACCTCTCTTCCACCTCCCTCCCCTAGCCTGACATCCCTACAACTGGCTTCATGGCTTAGCTGCTTGACTAGCAACAACTGTCTCCAAGTCAGGAAATGAATTTCCTAATTTAGACATCTGGTCTAGACATCCAGACCCTCCCAGGTCTCAAGCCTATGCTTGGCTCAGTCTTCCCTTAGTAGGGGTCCTTAGGTCAAGTCCATTTCTGACCACTCCCCCAGACACTCACTCCATGTCTGCCTGTCCCCCTGCTACATTCAAACTGTCCAGGAAATCCAGGATTAGAGCTAAAGAGACACAACATAACTGAACTCTGTTCCAGAGGGCAGAGTCCCCAGCCAACTAAACGCTGCTTACATAAGAGCTTAGGAGTCTTTCACTGAGATATGGAAGGCCCTGCTCCCCCACAGCCTTTTCACCTACCTGGCTGTCAGACAACACTGTACTCAAAGAACTTACTGCAATCACATTTCTTTTGATTTCCCCCTGAGGGAATCTATCTCCACCCCAAACTGTCCTATAGCCAATGCTAGGAGAAAGGTCAGGGCTTCTACTAATACTTAGGAAACTTAAGTTCTGACACTAGATCAGCCTGGGAGCTTTACCCTTTCTCTTACCCTCCCTAATCCAGCACCATCCATACATCAACTACCCTACCTAGGAATTGTTTTCTGCCTCAGCAAGACATCCTTCAGACAACCAGCCCCAACAGTCAGGGTCCCCTCCATCCCCCTGATATCATCAAGAGCCTCACCAACTTTCCACTCTTACAACAACAGCCCCCCCCAAAAAAAAACCTTCTACCACCCCTCCCCAATTAGGAGCAGCTTCTCCTATTCTCATGTCTCATTAAAAGCCTTCTATCTCTAGGGCATCACTTGCCTGCTTGCTCTCCTGACCCAAGAGCTGACCAGAAGCAATCTTAAGTTCAATTCCCTTTCTCCCCCACTCTCCAATTTATTTCTGGCTCACAGTAGAGCTCCTCCTCCTGGGTTATCAACTCCGGCCAGAGGAAAGGCATGTAAAGAGTCATGGCTTGAGCTGTCCCTCATATCTTGTGACCTCCACTTATCCTTGCTCTGAGAAACAGATCACCTTTGTGGAAGGAAAGCATGGAAAATGTAGAGAGGTGGAGACAAGGTAAGAGTGAACTGAAGGTCAAGGTTGAGATAATAGCATCTTACCTTTTCCTCCAAAGATCTGCGGAATCTGCTAGACTTGTGCAGGAACTAACTCCAGGGCATCAGGTTGGCCATTAATTCAATGGGTATTTATTGTGCATCTGCTACGGGAACACCAAAAGGTTAGACAGTACAGCGGATATAAAGATATATCCCATGTTTACACAAACGACAGCAATCCAAGGAAGTAGCTGCTAAGTGTCGTACGGGTGCTATTAAAAAAATTAAAAAGCAGGCTCAACTCATTTTGCTTCTGTTTTCTCTAGCAAGAAGAATGATTCGGAGATTAGGAAGGATAGAAAAGAAATGGCTAATAGGGAGTTCAAAACCATGATAAATAGGGAGGTAATAAGAGAGTACCTAGCTGTCCTCAAATAATTCAATACATCAGGTTTGAATGAACTAGATCCCAGGTACAGAAAAAACTGTTTCTATTATTTGAAAGATACAGTTTCTAAGCAGTTGTGACTGTGTGTTAGAGAGTAAGGGGTGGGGATTGTTGAAAGATTAGAGAAGGGCAAATGTCCCAATTTTCAGAAAAGAACAGAGAGTAGAGTCTACAAACCATAGACCAGAGATTCCTGGCAAAATTCTAGGATGGATTACTGAAGGGATGTGAATATCAAGAAAGTTTCATTGTCAAAAAAAAAAAGTCTTATCAAACTAACCTTTTCTGACAGCGATGTTTGATGGGTAGACCAAAGTGCTGCCCTGTTGAGTTTATTGGATTTTTAGATCGCATTTGATAAAATGGAGTTTTGTGAGCTAGACAACACAGAATAGTTAGGAGCATTCAGAACTGGTTGGGTGACCTCACCCAAAGAGTAGTTGTTAATAGTTTCATGTTAACTTGGAGGGAGTTTTCTAGTGAAATGTCTCAGGCATTAGTCCTTGGATCTGTGCTGTTTTAATCTTCTTATCAGTGACTGTAATGAAGTCATACATGACATGCTTGTCAGATCTGCAGATGACTCAAAGCTAACGTGCTTGATGGTAGTTAGGATCTAAAGAGATCTCAACAACTTAGAACATTGGACCAATACAGTAGGATGAAATTTAATGGAGAGAAATGTAAAGATCTTCATCTAAATTTAAAACTTAATTTCAAAAATAAAAAATAAGAGAGTATGGTTAGATAATTGTTCTTGTGAAAAAGATCTGAAAATTAAAAAAGAGAGAGAGTTGGTACTTAACAATATAGGAAAGTTCCAGTGGATCTGATGAGACAAGTAAGAACCAGAAGCAAGGGGAAATGTTATCTCAGGGTTGTGGAAGGGCTTTCTTTTTGATAGGAACTGCTGGGAAAACTGAAAAGCTATTTGGCAGAAATCTAATTTATACCAGCAGCTTACACTACATATCACAAGAAACTCCATATAGATACTTCACTGAAATATAAAATATCACGCCATAAAAAAAAAAAAAAGAATGAGGTACCTATCATAATTCTGGCTGGAGGAAGATTTTTATTGGGTTTTTAAAAAGTACATCTTTGTTCATATATTTTTATTTTAGATCACTAAAATTTTCTCCCAGTATCCCTTCTCCTTCCTTTTACCAGAGTCATACCATATAACAAGGAATATTTTTAAAGAAAAAGAGGAAGAAGAGAAAAATCCAGCAAAACCAATAAAAATATGGAAAAAGTCTGAAAATACATGCAGTGTTCCACACTCTTGGGCCTCCCACATGTGCAAAGCTGTGGGGTGGCAGTTTCCTTTCATATTTCTTTGGGCCATTTTTTTTCCTTCTAATATTATAACACTCAGTTTTTATTATTTTGTGATGATTTTTCTTTCCATTTACATTTTTGTTGCAGTCATTGTGTATATTGTTTTCTTCGCTCTGTTTACTTTATGTTGCATCTGTTCACATTGTCTTTCCATGCTTCTTTGTAGTCACCACATTCATCATTCTGTTACACCACAATCATATTCCATTATACTAATGTACCATAATTCATTTAACCATTTCATTATCTGTGGACATCTATTTTGTTTTCAATTCTTTGCTAATACAAAAAGTGCTACTACAAATATTTTGGTGAATGTGGAAATTTTCATCTTATCAGTGATCTCCTTGGGTCATATGCTAGGTCGTGGAATCTCCAAGTCAAAGGGTATGGATATTATAGACCATTTACTTGAACAATTAAAATTGCTTTGCAAGGTGGTTATAGTGATTTACAGCTCTACTAACAATGAACTATTGTGGCTATCTTCCCACAATCCCTCCAATATTTATTACTTCATCTTTTGTCATCTGTACCAATTTACTGGCTATGAATTAAACCTTAGGGTTGTTTTATTTTGTATTTATCTAATTGGTAATTATTTGGATTATTCTTTCATATGGTTGCTAATAGTTTCTAATTCCTCTTTTGAGAATTGTTTGTTCATCTCCTTTAACCACTTATCTATTAGGGAATGATTTGCATACATACACGCATTAGTTAGTTGTTTATGTATCTTAGATATCAAACCCTTATCAGAGAAATTTGCTACAAAAATTTTTCCCATATCTTTTCCTAGATGTATTAATTTTGCTTGAACAAATCCTTTTTTGATTTCTTATTTAAAAAAAACCTACCTATTTTATCTTTTGTAATTGTCTCTATCCCTTGTTTGGTTAACCAAACATCTCCTAACCATAGTCCTGAAAGATGTATGACTTGCTTCTTTGCTAATTTTTTAGTGATAGGATCTTTAATATTAAAGTCATGATTCCATTTTGAATTTTGTGGAATATGTTATAAGGTGATAGTCTAAGCCTGGTTTCTGCAGACTATTTTCCAGTTTTCCCAGCAATGTAATCAAATAGGGAATCCTTTCTTAAGTAATTTACATTTTTGCATTTATGGATATTGGGTTTTGAGTTCCACTGTTTCCGGTTTTCCCTTGTTTAGTCTGTTACATTGATCTACCTCTATTTTTCAATCAGTGCTAAATGCTGTCAATGGTTATGGATTTATAATCTAGTTTGAGGTGTAGAAGTACTATTTTCCCTTCATTCTGCCTTTTAAAATATTTTTTCTCTTGATATTCCTTATCTTTCGTTATTTTTCTTTTCATTGTTGAGTCCTATAAGACATGCCTTTGATAGTTTGCTATACCAGCAAAATTATAACTTAATCTAGGCAGTATCATCATTTTTATTACATTTACACAGCCCTGCCATGAGTTCCTCCAGTTATTTAAGTTGTTTTTTATTTCTTTAAGGATCACTTTGTAATTGAATCTATACAAGCATCTTGTGTGCTTTGATAGATTGATTCTTCAAATATTTTATGCAGTTTTTAGTTATTTTGAATGAGGGGCAGGATTTCTTCAACAAACAAAGGATAAAGATGATCACAAAGGACAAAAATGATATCCTTTATTACCCAAAATGAAAAAGCACGGGGGAAAAAAATCAATGCAGTTAAAATAAGAAGCAAAAACATCAAGCGCAGGGGGTGGGGGGAGGGGAAACTTTGCATCAAATATCAATGATAAAAGTCTGCCATAAGAAAATTAAAAGAGCCAATATAAATATTTTCATACGTGTAATCTGAGTCCCAATGCCCACCTGGTATGGGATTTGCCCCTTATTGGTGCAGAGCAATGTCTCACGCCTGTGTGAGGGGCAGGACAGAGTTGACAAGAGGAGAGGTCCACTCTTTTCAAGTTTCTTGAGCCCTGTCAGTTTCTTTGGGCTCTTCAGTCTCTGGGATTCTAGTACTTCTGACTTCCAGCTTTGTGACAGAAGATACATAATGTCAATCCCACTTCAGGTTGCCAAAAGGAAAAGACTTCGGGATGAAGCTATTATGAGAGGAGCTTGCAGTCCCCATCATGTCCTTATTCCCAGCTTGTTACACTAGAGACTTTGGAGGAACTTCTCCTTTGGTGAGATATAGAACTCTCTGATGAGATACATTATCTCACTCTGTAGAAGAGCTCATTCACTTTGTATTGAATGGGATATATTCTCCTATGTGTACCTCCTCTGATTATAATTTTTTCCTATTGACTTGGATAAATGAGTTTCATTGCTAATTTCTATGTGGATTCATTGTAGAACTGATATTTGGTGGGAAGGGAGTCAAGCCTCCGATATAAAGCTTGTGGTCCTCTTTCCTTAACAAGAA